TTATTACGAACAGTTTTCTTTGCCGATGATATTGGAGAATATACAACAGTTGTCCGAACCAAGTTCCCAAGTTTTCGTAAAGCAGAAAAGTGCAAAAATGATAAAGAGAAAATGATTGCTGAAAACGATGATATAGCCGATATAATTCTTTCTTGTAAAAAACTTATTCATGTTAACAACATGACCGAGGAAGAAGATCCTGAATTAAGGTCAAGACAAGAATGTCGGGACATATTAAGAGCACATTTAAAGTTCAATTGTGGTGCAGTTTATCGACCAAGAAATCTTGATGAAATAAATGAGAGAATTAGAAATCATATGACAGACAAAGAAAGAATTCAAAATGAAATGGAAGGCATTAAGGAGCTGTTAAGGCAATCACAAGAAAGAGCCGAAAATGCCGAAGAAACGGCACGCAAAAGAGAAGAAAAATTACAACAAGAATTTAAAGAAACTCTGGATAATTTATCTAGTCAATATGCAGAAAGAGAAGATAGGATAGCCGCCGTGGTGGCAGAACAAATGAACTCTAAATTTAGCGAGGTGGAAGCAGCATACGGCACAACAATCAGTGAGTTAAAAAGCATGATAGAAAAATTAAATGATCATATGAATTCAGAAAGAGCTCAACATCAAAATGATATGAGGGAGATGAGGAGTTTTTACGATCAACAGTTTAATCAAACCCGCCAAGCCTATGAGAATGCAGCCAGACCGAGAACCGAACCGATACCGATATGTAAAATAATGTGATGATTGAGTTTTGATAATCAGGCAATCACCAGTTATATAATCTCATAAGTTCTTTAAATTCTTTTTTTTTTTTTTTTTTTTTTATCAAATTGCTATTTAGAATAACAATTTTAAAGATTTATTTGCTTATTATTTTCTAGTATATAGTTAAACCTCACTTATGTCCCCTTTTGACCAGAGTTTTTCGATATATATTCTGTTAAATGATGGGAATATAATTTAGGTCGAGATATAACTTTAATAGAGGTTTTACTGTACGATATTTTGTAATCTGTTAGCCAACTAATAATAAAAATTTAACTATACATTTACAAAACTTGAACGAAGATTTTTACAGTTTATTTTTAGAATTTTAGTACACTAACTAAAATTTGGACCTTTATATCTAACCCTTGTCTTACCCTGAACTACACCTTAACCTTAAAAATAGAAGCAGGACAGTTTTTCTTAGTACCCCGACATGAGTTAGCTAGTATGTTTTTGAGATATAGCACCCCGGTGATGATCACCACCGGTTATAATTACTTATTTTTAATATTAAAGCTATTTTTGAATTCTAAAAATTAATAGGATTCAAAAAGGTCTAAAACTCTAAATGGCAAAGTCATTATAGAAAGTCTTTTCTCAACTAGTACTCTGGTAATAACTAGTTCCGTAATCAGAATATTATCCAAATCATTTTTTTTAAGATATAAAACTTATGGTTGCATATTTGGAAATAAAATAGTTATATTTTTACTAGGATAACAATTGATGCTACAATATAAATTTATTTCAATGATTTTTATTGATACAATTTTGCAATTGCATTTAATATTATTTACTTATGAAGCTGCATAATTAATATTTCTCAAATACTCATAAATATATAAATATTGAAAAAATATTATCCGATATTGAAACTTGTCAGAACCCATATTTAATAAATTAGATTATATGATTTGTTGGTGTTTCAATATCACATATAGCAAATGCATTTTTCATACAATAATGATCTTTTGCGTTTCCGTAAAACTTTAATACAGAAACTAAGTCTTTAATTGCAACTAATTAAGATTTTACATTAAATGTGTTACATAAGAAAACGGATTCGATCATCGAATAGAAAGAGTAGTAAAGAATGATAAGAAAAAATAATAATAATAAAATAAAAAATTTACATTTAAATATTTTGATAATTTATCATAATGATTAAATGTAATATACGCCATCATTATGTCAACCTTGAGAGTAGTTCACGATTTAGAATATTGTGATATCCGCAAAAGTCGTGTAACAGTCATTTGTTTCAAATATAGTCTGTTTTTCGATCTACGAACACAAATACAAATTTGTGCACAATTAAAATACATTTCACGCGATATTATTCATCTTATAGCATACAGAGCTGTTATCCGGTCTTTATTTTCCGACCCCAGTAATAAATTTAATTGTATATAATTTTGGTTTATTGATAAGCTAATTATATGCACTTAAACATGAAAATATCAAATTCTGATTGTATTACGGCTTGATTTTGGTTAAATTTGTTGAATACAAAACTATTTTTCATTATTAATAAATTTTTCAATTAAGTTGAATTACAAGCTATTCCGTAATTGGTGTATTTCTTAAATAAATTCGAATGTCTTTTAGATTAAAATTTCCTTAAACTTTTGTTAAATATTAATCAATCATCTAGATCAAATCAAGTTTTTGAATCTTTCTGCAGATATTTAAACTATAAATAATATAGTAAATCGGAATAAGCCGAATAAGAAATAATCAAAAATGCTAAAATTGAATGATAGATCATGATTCAGCGTTGACATTCTTTGTTCTATTACAAATTTTATTCTATTATTTTAGTATTTAAGCACGTAATCCAAAATCAGTAAATCAATTTTAACATTTATAAGAAACTTTTTTTTATACGGAATCATAAAGTATGTTTAGTCGATTAATCGTGGGAATTTTATTACTGATTTACGATAAGATAAATATTTCCTAAATTGTAAATTTCAATAAAGTGCAAAAAAAAATCTAGAATTCTGAATCAGCATAGAGATGACACGCCAAGACCGAATTAAGCTGCAAAGAATTTAGCATGATTAAAATCAGATAAGCCGTTATTGAAGTTGACAAATTTATCCTCAATGAGTTAGTTATCTTTAATCCTATATAAAAGTAATTGAAGTTTCTAGCTTCTCTGCACCGTAGTAAAACGGAACGAGGTTATATCTTAATTGATTTAAAATTCCCTGACAATAATCAATATAAGTATTCCACTGTTAGAAAACATTAGACGAACGGTTATTTAGCTTGTAATATTAGGATCCAGGCTACTGAAAAAAGAAACAGTCAAAAAAATTCAAATAAAAATTAAAAGTAGATATAATACGGTATGACTGAAAAACGCACCGTTCTATTGTTGGGAAGAACCGGCAACGGAAAATCTACAGTCGCAAATGTCTTAAGTAATACTAATCAATTTGCCGAAAGTGAATATGGAGTTAGTGAAACGAGAGGCATCCAAGAGGGGGTATTTCGAGTGGACAATGAAAACATTGAATTTCATATAATAGACACAATTGGAATTGGAGATACAAGATTTGATGAAAAAGAAGTCTTGAATAAATTGGCAGATGCAACCAACGCTATTAAAAGTGGTTTAAATCAAATCTTTTTCGTGACTAGCGGAAGGTTCACAGAAGAGGAAGTGAAAGCCTATAACTTATTACGAACAGTTTTCTTTGCCGATGATATTGGAGAATATACAACAGTTGTCCGAACCAAGTTCCCAAGTTTTCG